GCACGGAGAAGATTGCCATGAGTAGAATAAGAGAGTGGAAAGGGACTGTTGCAAAACTTCCTCCCAAGTAAAGCTAAGAGGAGGTGAAGTTCAAGGGGCTGGAAAGATGATGAAGTGGGACTACCCAGGAAAGGATGGCCATCCAGTAGATAAGACATTATCAGACATAACTTCATCATGCTTTGCTCAGGGTCTTGTGGCTGATTGTGTGGCTGACTGGTTGTTTTTCCATAATGGTCGGGAAAAAGGGCAGTGAGGAATGCTTTTTTACACAGCCAAAAAAAAAGCTTTGTGAATAGGGAAATCACGTGTTATGTTCCTGGCAGTGTTTATTAATGACAAGCTAATGAAATGGAGCACTGCAGAGAATACTGGTGTACCACTTTAAAGAGCAGGCACAAAAAGCATGAGCCTAGAGCACTGACTAATAGAGGCTGCAGCTTTATTAAAAAGCCTTTTCTAGCAGCGAGCCATCCTAACCTGCCTTCCAGTTCTGCTTCAGCCTAGATTTGAGAGTGGATGGTGAAAGGCAGAGAGAGGCATTGCTGAGATTTACCTCTGAGTCCCAGCTGGAGGCAGGGCTGAAGCTGTCCCTCTCCTTTGTACCAGCGGGCAGGAGTGAGGTGGGGGGGAAGTGGCGTGGAGCTGAACCCCTTCATGTTGTATTTCCATGGTCTGGGCTTCAGCCAAGGCAGCCCACTGGGTTACAGGGACCTTAGGCTGAACCCTTTCTAACCCACCAAACTCTCTGGAAGCTGCCAAGCTCTCAACAACAGAGTTTAGACCTCTAAAACCAAAATGAAGTTTGCAAGACCAACACAGACGCTTTAGGGAGCCGGATGGGGAAAACCTGTTTCAGACACCCAAACTAACAATCAGCTGAGCCCACAGCACCACAAGAAGCTCAGTTCACTAGATGAGGATGGGAAGGCAGGAATAGAGAGACAGAAGTAAAAGACAGACCACCATTTGTTTTTAATCCAATTGACTTTATGAGCTGACAGAATGGCTGAATATCCCAGCCATAGTATTATGATCTTCTCAGTTAGAAAAGATGTAGTTCCATTAAATAAAACTAACAGCAACACTCATCGTCTGGGGAAATGAGCAGTTAATTCTCAGTTAATAACGTTCTGGGGAGATGCTAAGAAATTGTATGCTGAGAATTCAGCCATCCCTTTTGGCTTCATTGCTACTCTTTGCCCCATGGTTCCTAATTCTGGAGTAGTTGCTGTTGAGAAAGGTTTGCTTGTAACATCCATTTTCAGAAAATAATCATAACTTAATGTTCAAAGTTTTTATTTAAATACAGTTTAAATAGAGCTTTGGCAGCTTAGATAAAATCTGTGATCATGGAGAAACAGCTCTACTGTTCGTAGGTCATCGTAAGGAAGCATAAGTTGTTGAGGTAGATCTCTGTTCACCACTACCAGAACAAAATATAGCACTTGTTTACAGTTTTTATCCTAAGTACGGGATGTACAAACGTGTTTTGGTAAGGATCCTGCTGTCTTTTGTAATGTTGACTGACATCAGTCACAGCCTGAATTTACCGAAGAAAGGTCTTAGAGTTTTGGCAGGAAAAGGAGGTCATTGAAGGGCAAACCAGTTTTCATCCTGTTTGGAGAAATTCATGAAGGGATTGTAAAGGTTTTGAGTTCAGTTTCACTACTGAAGACTGAAATAATAGTATCATCTGTACTACCACTGTACATAGAGACTGAATGGCCCCTCCAGCATCTCCTGACAAGAAGGTGGTACCTACCAAAAAGATGCGATATAAGGAATGTATAGTACAGAAGTAAATGCAGAAGAGCTATTAAAAGAGAAGGTGATGTGTATGCTAGACTGCAATTAACATGATACCTTTTTCCTTTTTTCCCTTTTTTTTTTTTTTTTTTTTTTTTTTTTATTCCCAAAAGACTATGTGTGCTTACTGTAGTAAAACAAAGACCTGTTCTTAACACAATCTAGAACAATCTGTAAGGCATGACCTGTGCTTTGTCTCAAAGACAAATGACTCTATCCATGGAACAGGTACTTTGTGTGGTATCAGCTATGTAAGGGTTTGGGATTCTTCCTTACTCTTCCTGTGAGGGACATGATGATGCTTGCTGCAAAGGCAGGTGGTTCTTTGGGTCACACTGCGCTTGGTTTGGTGATGAACTGCTTCTGAGCTCCATGTGGATCCCTTGTGTCCAGTCTCAGAAGTATCCTGGAAATCAGAAAGCTCTTGGGAGCAGTCTGATGCGCATACGCTGGGTACATCAAGTCCCCAGTGCCCTTGTAGCACCTCAGGGTGCTCTGAAGAGCAGTGGAGGACAGCAACAGCAGGGTAATCCATCCTTCAGCTCACAGAGTAACAAGTTGTGCTGGTGAGGCAGGCGTCAACCTGAAATCTGCCTCTGGCACCCAGGGCAAGCCTGGAAGTACACCAACATGTAGGATTTCTTTCATGGCACATTTACCTGCCCGGTGAATGGTGCTGGCGATTCATACTGCTTCTAGATGACCCTTGCCCAGCCTTGTGCACAAGGGGATCCCTCAACCTCCTTGTGCATAAGTTGATCCCATTTATCCCCCCTTCTCAAACATTTAAGTTAGAAGATGTTGCCTTTGGCCATATGAAGATTTAGCTATAGCCTGTGGAGGGTGTCCCTGTCCATCTTGCCTTCACTCTACCTCCAGTCTGTTTAGTTCAGCAGAACCGGTCTGTCTGCCTACTGCATATATAAGACTTCTCAAGATTTGACAAATTAACTACTTGTGCCATGTATGTTTATGGCTTTGTCTTTATCATAGCACATATGGTATGCCTAATACAGAATCTCATTACTGACAATAGGCATGATAAGGTGTTTCAGAGGAAGTTACCAGGAATCATCACTGGAGAATAACAGACAGTTTTGCCTTTTTGAGGAAGAGGTTTTTATAACCTTGTCACTCATAGCTGGTTATGCACTTCGAAAAGTAACCTGTTCTTCACTCTGAATTCTTTTTTAGCAGCAGAACTTCCTGTTGTCTTTATAAATGGATTTTTTGCTTTTGTTATTTGTATTATAGCAGAACAGCAGGGTCCAGGGGCTGGGTGAACTGGGGTCCCTTTGTTTTAAGGTGATTTGTGTATGAATAGAGGAGGAGACCAACTGTTCCATAGATGTTCTTGTTTTCAAATGGGGGAAAATGTCAGATCCAAGAACCACTCTAAATCAGCTGAGTAGATGGGATCTGCTAGAACATCTCATCTTTCAGCACGCCAGGGATAACATCCACATAGGCTGTTATTATTACAATTTTTTAATATTAGTACTTTTATTTTCCTTTTGCAATAGAACTCCATTCTGTGATGAAATTTGGCTCTGACTCAAAACCAGGAGGGTTCTCCATGAAAATATTTAACATAGTTGATTATAAAAATCCCAAAGTGAAATCATAGCTTGCTTGATTGTTGGCTTATTTAGAGTAGACGAACTAAAATATTTGTGGCTTAAGTATTTCTGACTTAATATTTTCAGATACTTAGTAAATATTATAATCTAGAGAATTCATTTAGAGCTGCTTAGGTACCATAAAAAGATTGCTTATTAGATCTGTATATGGAGTAATTGCTTTGGGTCAGGTGAGATTTGAAGTAGCTTGGCAAATGTTTTTTACTGAGGTTGGCTTTCTGTACTATGGCACATAACAGTGTGTGTGCCTGTAGAGAAGCTCTGCTGCAGTGCAGTGCCGTGGAGACTCTCAGCTGAGGAGCTGAGAGCTGTGCTTTGTCTTACTACCAGGTTATCGATGGGCATTTCCTTCTCTGCTCTGCCTATTGAAAATTACTTGAAAAAACATTTTTAAAGAGTAGTTATTAATGATGTACTGTCAAAAAGGAAAGATACATCAAATGAGCTGCTCCAGGGATCTGTCTTTGGCCTAGTGTTATTCAAAAATTCTATTAACCTCTTTGATGATGGAAATAAGAAATAAAACTATAAAAATAGCAGATGGCACCAGTGTAGAATAAATTTAGACCAACCAGCTTTGAAAGAGTTGGTCTAAAGGATAAAATTATTTTATAAAGTCAGGAAAATTGTTCTTAATTAGTATATAATAATAATAATAATAATAATAATAATAATAATAATAATAATAATAATAATAATAATAATAATAATAATAATAATAATAACAACAATAATAACAATAATAACAATAATAATAACAACAATAATAAACAATAAGGAAGGCTATATAATATGATAATTCATAATAACAAATCACTGTAGCTGCTGCTGCCTGTAACAGGGCAGCCATACAAATATGGGACTCTGTGTTGACCTGTAAGTTCATTATCAGTAACAAGCAGAATGCAAAAAGTCAAACATTGAACTAAAGGACTGTGTTTAGCACAAGTCACTGTTTTCTGAAAAATCATATGGACAAAACTGCAGAGATCGCTGCAAAGAGCAAACAAGTGCTAAGGCTTGTTCTTTTAGAGCTGACTTATGACAGAAGGAAGCTGCAAGGTCTGCCTAGTCTAGAAGAAGGTAGGCAAGTAGGGGGGAAATTAGTCTTCAAGCATGCAGAAAGTTGTTTGAAAAATGGTGTCCAGTTTTTCTTCATGTCCGTTGGAGATGACACAAGAGAGCAATGCTGCAGCTTAAAGTTAGATGTTGGGAAGAAATGTCCTGTCAATATAAATAATGGCTACCGTGAAAATACTAAATTTGTTGTCACTGATGACTTTGCTTAGTGCAAAGAAATGGTGATTTTGTACAGTTAATCCTGCCACCTTCTAAGAAACGGGAGTAGAACTTTTTTTTAATACTTGGTCCAAGCTGAACATGTCTGTGCTTTCTAACATGGTTTGTCTTTTAAAATTATAAGCTGACACAAGAAAAGGAAACAAATCCTGTGGCTTTCATGACCAAGTTGTGTGATACGCATTAATAATTGGTTGTGCAAGTCATCTTTAGCCACATATCTAACTATGTCCCTTTGTCCTTCCTCAACAGTCTCCAAACGTCCACAACTACCCAGATATGGAAGCTGTACCCTTGTTACTAAACAACATGAAGGCAGACCCCGTGGAGGATTCATTATCTACAGACCATTTCCAAACACAGACTGAACCAGTGGACTTGTCAATAAACAAAGCCAGGTCGTCCCCTACAGCAGCTTCATCTTCACCAGTTTCCATGACAGCATCAGCCTCCTCCCCTTCTTCTACTTCTACTTCTTCTTCTTCTAGTCGGCCAGCTTCATCACCCACAGTAATAACATCGGTATCCTCAGCAGCATCTGTACCATCAGTATTAACTCCAGGTCCTCTTGTGGCCTCTGCCTCTGGTGTTGGAGGCCAGCAGTTTTTGCACATTATCCATCCAGTACCACCTTCAAGCCCCATGAACTTGCAGTCTAACAAAATGAGTCACGTGCACCGTATCCCCGTGGTGGTACAGTCGGTACCTGTTGTCTATACAGCTGTGAGATCACCTGGGAATATGAACAACACTATAGTTGTACCACTGTTGGAGGATGGGAGAAGCCACGTCAAAGGTAAGGTGGAAACAGTTTTGTTCATGCGGCATCTCTAAAACCACTCTTGTGTGAGGAAAATGTAACAAAGTTGTAAAGCTTTTAGTTTCCAAACTTATTGTGTCGTTTGATGAAAACACATATAACCTACCCTATCGGGAGGAGCCTTTATAAGTATTATCCCAGATGCTCTTTAAAATAAATAAATATTTTTATAAAGATTGAGGTCAGCAGTGGTGTTAGATGCTGAGGCAACTCATGGCAAGTTTTGTCCTGAGAGGAATAAATCCTCCCCAGAAGCTGAAGAAGTAGAACAGTGGATAGTGACAATATATAAAACATTATAGATGAATGTGTAAATCAATCACCAGGTGATACAGTTTTGGCAAGGGAAGGAATGTCAGAGAGATTGTTTCCATGTAAAGAGAGAGCAGTCGTTGGGCTGTAGGAATGTGTGAGGGAAAGCCTCCTGGACCAAAGAGCAGTAGCAGATGCAGAGAGGTAGGTTTTATTAAACTCAAGGAGTGGAAGTGCAATTCTTTGAATTAGATTTCTTCTTCCAGATTAAACAACAGAAGGGAAGGAAGCCATAGGGAGTGTATATGTTGGGAAATGAGTTTTGCAGGCACAGGACCCAAGAGGCTTGTGGAGGTGTGAAGGGAGGAAGAAAGCACATGCCAGAAGGACAGATATACTCTTGGAGAGGTGTCCAAAGAACACGGAAAGGGGAGCTGGAGAGCAAAAAAGAATGAGAACATAGCAGTTACTGAGGGAGCAAAAACTTGTTAAGAGATGGCAACATGATGGGTGGAGGAAGAAAAGAGAAAACAGATGTGCCCAGATACTTTGGAAAGCATAGCTTTATAAAGAAGGCCTTAGTGACAAAGATGGGAACATGAGGAAAGGAATGAGACTCATTTCAAGGTTCATCGCATGTGAGTGAATAAAATATGGCTAATTCTCCCCTGGAATGAGGTGTTGCTTGACACGGAAAGGGAGGGTACTGACAGATAACCTTACTTTAGGGTTTATGAGACTAGAGGACATTTAGTAATACATCTTATAACATCTCTTATGTACCTAATTGCATAATGAACAAGTCTCTACAACTAAAAGGCCTTTTTTCTTCAACTCTCATGTCTGTTTTTGATATAGTGGCGACTGTGTATTGTTGTACAGGACTACGGTGATGGGTCATTCTGATGTTTAGTAGCATCCTGTTGTCCATAACCTTTGGTTCTCTTCCCATTCCATCAGTACCCGAGAGTGGACTGTGTCCTCTCAACACACTTGGACATAGAAAGTGAGCTCATAACTGATTTGGATTTTGTTTTAAGCCTCAAAATGACAGTTTAAAAAGTTTTATTGCACTTCATACAGTGATGTAATTTTAGGACTTTGTGCTGTTATGTCAAGAAATGTTGAATGAAAGCAGAACTTTTCACCATGTTTGGGAAGAATAGAAGGAAAAGGGAAAGTTTTAGTCTGTAATTTGATTTTGGAGCTTTGAGCTGCACCTGACCTTGAGCTCATCCATAATTTTTCCCATTTGTTTTCTTTTCAGAGTTGCTAGTTGGCTCTGGTAGTAGTCTCCTCTCTAGGAAGCACCTCCTGAACTTGTAAAAGTGGAACTTCACTGCCCCAGTTTTGTCAACAAAATTCCACAATTTAATGTGCCCTAGGGATTTCAACCTATGAGCTCCAGGCCTCCTGAGCTGCCCTGACAATATCGCCTTTGTGCTATTATTGGCAGAGATCATTAACCAGCCCTGCAGCACCTATTAATGTACAGCTAAAGAAAAAGAAGGGATTAAGCGATCTTTTTTTTTTTTTTTCTCAGCAGTTGTACTCATTTTGCTATTGCTAATTATTTTTATGTAAATGTTCAGGTTATTTTAAATTAATACAATAGAAGAATAATGGGCAACGATCCACTTTAGGTAGTCATCTTTTGTCAACTTTTGCTGGAGTGCATTTTTCTGTCTTTAATGTAAGACAATTTAAATAATAAAATGCAATGCCACTGCACAAATTAAATGATTAAATAAATTTCATATGTGTGCAGACTGACTTCCCTTCAGTGGTCAGCTCTCATGCTGAAAACAGGAGATAAATGTACACATATGCTAACAGGACATTGCTGTTGAATTGAATTGGTCGCTAATTCTCTACCAGCTGAAGGAGAAACGCAGGTTTGGAATCATCTAGTCACAGCTTTCAACTTTTGCATGAAAGCTGATCATTTTCAGAAACAAAAATATACACACACTGAAACATAGTCGATCCATAGATAGTACTGACAGCATTTGATGCATAATCTGTGTTGTTGCTTTGGTGCTAAATCAGAGACCATACTGATGGTCCAGGGGTGTGGTTGGAAAGCACTTAAAGTTATATTTTACATCATTAGCCTGTATCCAAGTCCTTTTCACTCAAATGAGACTTAGGCAATTTCCTGAACAGAAATACTTTCAATGCTAAAATTAATGAAAATTACATCAGACTTAAGTTCAGACACCTCCTGTTTTTCTAGATACAGGTACTTGGGGGAAAAATGCAAGAAACAAGATATAGAGAAAGGGTTTTTTCTTTGTTATTCCTAGCTTTATTTTCTTCATGTTGAATTTTCCTCTTCTAGGTTTGACTAGGACCACTGCATTTTTGATTTTATTGCAAAACCTTCTCAGGCCACTACCATCCCTCTAATCCTGCCTCCAGGCATTTTGTTCAGGTGGCTTTCTGCTTCCCCTGATGCTTCCCAGTCCACCTTCCTTTCCCTTGGACACAACTGTCCTCCTGGTGGCTGCTTTTCTAAGCAGTTCAAGCAAATACTTCTTTCTTCCTGTTGTGTTTGACTGCTCTCTTCCCTCCAGCACAAGAAATCACTACCTTCTCTTCTGTGTCCTCCTCTTTTTCGATTTTTTGCCTAGCCCTTCTCATCTTGCTAACTGTTCTTTGAGTGCCAGTTTCAGCAGCTCTGCTTCTTTTCTCCCTCCTTATCTGTTAACGTTTCTAACCTGTACTGTCATCTTCTCCTCCTCCACTGCGCATCCTTCTCCATAGCGTCGTTCATCCTGGCATTCTCTGTCTCAACATCCTTCAGGAGAGTCTTCGATCTCTTTTTCTGCCTATGCTGCTTGTTTCTGCTCTCTGTCCTGCCTCCTCTCTCCTTTTTTACTTGCAACATTTCCCATTAAATCAAACCCTTTCTGCAGCATAGAAAACCAGATGGGTTTGCAGAGAATTAGCTCTTGTATATATGAGCTGGCAGCAGCATCCCATCAGGTAGGTCCCATGCCACGTGCTACACTCCAAGGGGGGCAATGGGAGCTGGGAATATCATGCTACAAAAGCACCCTTCTGTCAGATTGATGCTTTTTGCATGAAAAAACCCTCTCAGTTCACATAATGTAAATCAAAATCAGGATCAAAGGATTTTTAGGAATTCATTTAACAACACATAATTAGAAGGTAATCAGTGGATGATATGTTCAGTATCAGTAATACAACACTAGACATTTACAAAATCTTACTAAATTCCTCCAAATTTCTAACACTGTTCTGTAATCCCACAACACTTAGATATGTGTGCACACACTCAGAGTTACATGCAGACTCCTCTGCCGACCGTCGACCTTCCCCTCCTGACGTCCCCTGATGCACCCACTGTGGATGAGGCACCCCGGGGAGACCCCCCAAAGTGGGGGTGTCTCTGTGTGCTGCCCCCGTACCGCCAGCCCGGTTGTGTAAATTGCCCCCTATGACCTAATCCTTGCGCAAAGCGTAGTGATGTGTTAGGGCTGTCGAGACACGGAGGGGATGGGAGCCAGGCACAAGTCCCTGTGGGCACCGCGGGTCCAGGCTGCACCTCTATCCCCCCCGACAACGTGGCAGAGGCACAGTTCACATCTTCAGCAGTCACCACGGTTGTGTCGTCATCCCAAGCCTTAAAAAACATGCGGAGATTTTTTTCTGCGTAGAGTAGGTGGTGACCACTGGACATTATACAGTAAACTATACCAGAGCATTACAGTCCCATGAAAAACTCTTTCCTCACCTTTTTTGCTCCCTTCTCAGCAATGGTGAGTATTGCTAAAAGGTGTAATTAGAGGCACAGCAGGTAGCAGCACCTATAGATAAGGTTGCCTGATGGTTTCCCTTAAAACCCCACCTTCAGCTGCTCAAATTCTGTCTATATGTTAACCATTTAAGCTAACATTTTCCATGCTGTACATCTGCCTCAGGCTATTTCTTTTTTTCTTTCTTTTAGAGGAAAGTTTCAAGAAAAAACTATTCCGCTTTCTGAGACTGAATGTAGAGAAAAAAATGTAGCGTTTTCCATGTTGAAAGATTTATTCCAGCTTTTTTTGGTGAAAAACTCTAGAACCAGTGTTGTTTTGTGCCATGAACCTCAAGCTTGGTTTGGACAATTGAGGCTTTTTTGTCTTTGTAAGCACTTGCAGAAAACAAGCCAAGTTTGGAGATCTGGGAAAAAAAAAAAAAAAAAAAAAAAAAAAAAAAAAAAAAAAAAAAAAAAAAAAGAGTCTCCTAAAGGATAAAGTGAAAAAAAGTCATATCTGGGAAAAGACAAGGACAAGGTTTGAATGGACTGGGCAGTGAGGAGAGGGGCAGGGTGAAAGGAGTGAGGGAGAAAAAGAGAGGTGGTGAGATGGCTACGGATGTGTGCACGTATTCAGGAGGAAAAGTGGGAAAGAGTTGGAGACACGGGAAGGGGGAAGAAGCAAAAGGAGGGTAGAAAAGACATCTGGGCAGGGTGAAGGGGAACAAGGAGAGGCTCGGACAGACAGGAGTGAAAGGGCCTGCCATGGCAGCAAGACATTCCCCTACAGACTGGCCTCATTAGCCTGAGTCTTTCCACTGCTTTTCTTTCAGAAGATATTCATGAATACTACTGGCAAATCTTGTCCCTCTAGCAGCAGGTTTCGCCAGAGATAATATCCTTAAAAATTGTTTTCTGTAGTTCAGAAAAGTTACTCTGTTCATCAAAGGGCCTTTTAGAA